GTTATCTTGGCCCCCGGGGGGAGGGAGGACATTTCCCGAAGGGGAGGAGGAAGAGTGCTCTTCGACAATGACGAGGGGGGCGTCCTTCTTCTCAGGGCCCCCCTTCTTTTTCTTCTTCTCCGGAGGCATCACGCCCTTCCCGGCATTTTTTCTCTTGGGCTCCGCCTGAACTCCCCCGGCGCCGGCACCAGCACCAACAGCTTTTGAGGGTCCCTCACCCTCCGGGACCCGAGTGGCCCCCTCTCTCTCGAAGAATTCATCGACGGGTTTCTGAACCCCCGTCTCTTTCTTCTTCTTCGGCTCCTTGGCCAGCTTCTTCTTCAATGCGGCAAAGTTGGAGACATCCATGCTGATACCTGCAAAGAAGTCAAACCGGAGGGGTCAATTACAACAAAAGAAGAGAAATAAGAGCATGCAAATATCCTAAGTACAATAAAGCGGACCCTCCGGTAACTACCTCCACTGCCACCGAAGGCTCTCTCGAGGACTGGGTATTGGTCATCCTTCTCGCCCAGAAAGCGGTACCGACGGAAGCCTAGGGCCAGCAAGTCTTCGGGGAGAGTGGAGTCCTTGACCGTCACATGCTTTGTGGCCCCCGGCAGCAAAGCCGCAATCTTCTTCCCCTCCTTCTGGAGTGCGGCGTTTCCCACCTTCGGGTGCCGCCTGAAGTGGTTGCGCAGTCCCCCCGGAAATGGATTCTCTGCCATCTTGACGTAGCAGAAACGATCCTTCCATCCTTTGTGGGACGAAGGAACGTCATCGAAAAGCCTGAAGGGGGCAAGCTGCTGAAGGTTGGCGAATCCCTCGGAATTGGTGTGCCCCCCCCGACACAAGTTGAAACTCTGAAAGAAGAGATCGAGGGTCGCGGTTACCCCTCGGGATCGGCACAGCTGCAGGAAGCCAGTTATATAGGAGTGGCTGTTTGGGGTTAGCTGGCAGGGGGCTAAACCCACATACCTCAGGTACTCGAGGAGAAAAGGATGCAGCGGAAACCGGAGGCCCATGGCAACTGACAGCACATGGACCGCAAAACAACCCTCCGGAGCTTGTAAAAGGAGATCGTTGGGTCCCGGTTCAATCACGGTAGCCGAGGGCCCCACGTGCAGCTGGGTAACGTAGCATTCGGCCCGGTCAGCCCTCGACTTCAGCGCGAGGGCCGCAGTGTTCAGCCATGAGTGCCCCTCGGGTATACCTACTGGCTTCCCGCAGTCCACGGCGGTTTGCTTGCCTTTCTTGGGAGCCTTCGCCTTCTTCCTCTTCTTCCCTACGGCAACATTGAGGGGCTCCGGATCTAATGGCCGGGAGGTGCTCGCCTCACCAGAACCGCGAAGGGGGAGGACGGCGACAGTGACTTCTTGCCTCTCCTTCTCCTCCTCTTCTTCCGCTACCTGCAGCGCGAGGGCCATTTCTTCATCCTCTACCACCTGCTCAAACTCCTCCGCCTCCAGCTCAGTACGAAGGTTATTTTGGACCTCCTCGGCAACCGCTGAATCATTGTTCGCCGAGGACTGCGCACTCGAGGACTCCACGTCCGAGTAGCTTTCCTGTTGTGCCGACGGCTCCCCCGAGATATCTTGGGAATCGCTTTGAGAGGACATGACTTTGAGGGAAGAAAAGTGTGACTGAGGGAGACTACCTAAGTGTTCCTACCGAGGGCTATCCTAACACCTCTAAACACAAGATCAAAGGAGAAAGAAGCAAAATGTGCTAAGGTAGTAAGGAACGGAGCAAGAACTGACCTTGTGGCTTAGGGTTTGATCGGAGGAAATACTTTATCTCTCTAGAAATTTTGGCAGAGCTTCGCTTCAATTCTAAAACGCACAAACCAAATGAGTTCGAAGTTGGAGTATATATAGGCTTTCAGCCTCGAGAACTGGGCCTCGATTTGAAAAGGCCATCATTACGGGCCGCCGGTTCAACCAATGGATGGCACCCGCCCACCTTCAACCAACGGGAGCATACCACGTGTGCCCCTCTCCCAACGGCTATATTACAACGACTGTATTTCGGCAACACTGGGATGCCCCCGAACGATAGCCTCCGGTTACTCACTCACCGCAGCCTTCGGACAGAGAATTCCACCAAACGCCTTCGAGCCGTAGCAGCATAAGCCTTCGGCTTATCGATGTCATCACCCCTCGGGAACTTATCAACACATCGTGACTCCTTCAGCCCGAACTCACCTTCGGCCTAAAGGAGTGGGGGACTGGGACACACCCCTCGGGAATCACACCCTTCGGCGGAGACAGAATATCAAGAGTTTCCACAAGTCACTTGCGGAAATAAGGCAGCCCTCGTCACAACACATGCAGGCAATACATCTATGCTTTCCCCAGAAAACCCTCGACATGTGAGGGACTGGGAAAAGCCTTCTGGAGTCATACAGGTGTTACACTGCCCTCAGAAAGCCCTCGACATGTGAGGGACAGAGGGGAGCCCCCGGCGAACATGCGAAGGTTACGAATATGTTCCCTCAGAAAACCCTCGACATGTGGGGGCCTGAGAGAAGCCTTCGGCAATCAGCAGAAGACGAGTTCTCCAACAAAGGCACCCAACGAAATGATGCAGCCTCCGGGAGAATCAACACAACTACTCCTTTTCCCTCAAGTACCTTTCGGCAAAAGGAGTGAGGGACTCCTGATGGAGTATATGGCCCAGGAACCCCCGGCCCATAGACTCCTACTTCTCCTACGTAAGCCCGCTGAGCCCAGGAAGCACCTCAGGCCCAAATACAATGGCCCAAGCTTCAGAGGAGCCCAGAATACACACTGGGGGGTGCCTTCGGCCTCCTTGGCCGAAGGCTCCAGAAACTCACGAAGCAGCCCTCTCCGACATACGAAGCTGCTGGGAGAAAACGGCGAAAAACATAAGCCTTCGGCATTACCAAGCCCTCGGCATTAGGGAAGCCTTCGGCTGAACTTAGCCTCTGCCACTCGGGGCCTTCGGCTACACAGGGGTCCGTGGCTACGTGGAGCCTTCGGCTACACAAGGAGCCCTCGGCTACACAAGGTGCCTCCGGCTGAACAAGCTCAATCATCGAAGATTCCTTTTAGAGACAGCCAACCACCGCATTTAATGCCACGTCGCATCCGCCAACCGCATTCAATGCGGTTGACGTACCACTGCCGGTGCCACTAGGCTGATGTGACCCTTCGGCCGTTGGATTACTGACACGTGTCCCCTCATCGCATTTATTGCTGCTATAAATAGCAGCCAATTTCTCCTTGTAATCAACACAACCTACATCTCAACTCCACGCTGAGTTCATTTAATAAAATCAACTCTCTCTCCTCCTATTTTGCTCTGACTTCTCTCTAGTTATTTCCGCAATAACCCCTCGGATAAGATACCCCCCGGGTAGACTGTCCATCATATTGTTTATTTGTTTAAGTTATGGAAATTATTTTAAATTCTACTTCTTTTAAATCACCAATTAAGTATTGCATTATGTGAGCCTATATATTAATTTTGAAAACCTAAAGTTAAGAGGGATGAAAACATATATATCTAATTAATAAAGTATGAAAATCTTATGAAAATATTACATGCATAGTAGAAAAAAATGGAAATTTAAGGAGGGCGGTCGCCCCCCGCGCCCCCCTTGGATCCGTCCCTGAGGGTGGGTGAATGATAGGGTAAGCACAAGAGTTGTCTGTGAGTGTAACGTGATGACCTCCATCCAAATGGCGGTGCAGTTGCATGTGATGTACCCAACCAAACCTTTTTAATCCTTCGGTTTTCAAGTTCACTTCTTTGTGACCATTTAATGCCACTGTTAAGTGTTAACAACAATTGCCTCTTATCCATGCCATGTGCTTGCTGTAAAGCATCCAAATTAAACATTTTTTACTCCCCATACATTTTTCACGAATACACTTCACCGTGACACGAACAATACGGAGTAGCTTTTACCCATTACCATTAACCTAATTAGCACGGAGTATCTAGTTACCCAGGTTTTTGTTCATTAATAAATTTATTATGATTAAAGTGGTAAAGCTAAGAATTGAAAAATGACATGTAACTCATAGTCAAACCAGAATCACTCGGACTAAACTTTCACACCACATTTGCATGCCCCCTAGGCGAACAGTAACTACTGTAGTAAGGCGTAGCCGTAGAAGGAAGGTAGTGTTCTCATCTTTTGCGGCAGATGGTTATCATTAATAAAAAGACTTTTTCTCACCCGATAAAAGTGGGCATGCTCTGAGGGTATGTAAGCGGCGTGAGCCGGGCTCCATCAAACTACGAGCCATATTCCTAAATTATAATCCTAAGAGCTCATTTGTTAAGATTATTTTTTGATTTATCAGACTTATCAATCAACTTTTTAATCAAATATGTAAATTTTGATTTTGCACGCTGAATTGTGTAATAATTAGAAAAAGTAAATTAAAGTTACTTTTTTAGCTGTATCGGCTAAAGGGTTTCGTAGATGACTATATTAGCTATTTTTCATATAATTTTTTTAATTTTATTAATAAAGAATTAGTCAATACAGTCACTTCAACCAGAGCTTTATAAATTTCTGCAGAATCAGTTGATTCAGCTGGTTTCAATGTTACCAAACAAACTCTAATAATTGATGTACACAAAATCTGTACACATTTGACATGCTTTTTTGTTTGCATCAACAATTATAGCTTTTTTAAATGAATTATCGGTATACATAGGCAATTAGAGAATGTATACCTTTCGTGTATATTTTATAGTCACATGTATAAACAAACAATTGTTATGTTTTTCTAAACTACTACTTTCGTTCCTTTTTAAATGTCCTGTTTTACTATATTGGGATATCCTTATTTAATTGTTTCATACCTTATTTGATAAAGTTTGTGTGACGCAAAATCATTCATATTTTATTCTTACTTTATTAATTAATATCAACCACACAAACTCATTTTTATTAAAATTAGTATCACCCTCTTCCGGGAGATGTATGAAGTGGTTACGAATTATACCTACAAGGCTACAAATAGAACGCAAACCGGTCTGCCCTTGGACCGTCTCGGTCACATGATGGACTGCCCTGTCTCTGTTGCAGACAAATTTCTGCCAGCAAAACTCCGTCCTCTTCTTATTCCAACGTTTTCTTCTACGGAGTACTTCTTTTTCTCCTCCGCCATTAATGCGGTAATGCCCTTTCACAGTATCTTCTCTCTCTTGCTTCTCTGAAATTAGACGGCCTCTTTTAGCTGCTTCTTCTTCTCTGTAATAACATCTCTCTATCATTAAACCCAGCATTAATTGCAGATTTTTTTTTAATTCTCCATCATTTGGAGTTTTAGAATATCCCCTACAAGTTATTGCATCTTCCTAAACCCGACTCTTTTAGAATATCCTGGCTGCTGATTTGCTGAATCGAACTCTACTGCGCCCTAGCCCAGTTCATCGAAGGTGAGAGCTCCTTCCACACACTCAGTTTCGTTGATCTTTACTATTCTATTTCTATCCTTATTTCCTGATTCGTGATTGTACTTCTCTTTATCCCCCACCGCCGTACTCCCCGTAATGTCTGTGTTGTTGATATTGTGTTGCAATGCTGAAAAGATTAGATTTTGTCGATTTCTGAGGTTACGAATGATAAATTCGTTCCTGTACTTGGTGGTAGTAATTAGTGGTCCAGATTTCCTCCCCGAGAAAGCCAGGAACTTGCATTATTTTCTACTACGCTATTTGGAAGTGGATTTGTAATTGAAAAGGAAAAAACTTTTATTCAGTCTTAGTGTACAAAGTGAAAGTGTATATATGCACCTTTACATAGGCCTCAATCTTTGATGCTCTTGAGCTCTTAAAGTTTGTATGGTTCCAAGACCTCTGAGGGCAGGGAAGGGGAGGTGGTGGTCTGTGTTTTATAAATTATTTTTACATTTAGGTTGTTCAATATAAAGTGGAGATATTAGACTATATTCAAATACAAGATCTAACTAATCATACCCAAAGTAGTTATTTATAGTATTAAACTAAAGAGTAACAAATCCTGATAAACTAGTTAAATAAAATCAATCCTAGCCTTCCATTTCATTTGTACTCCCCTAACTAAACCAACCTTAGAAGGCTGGCCACTTCTCTGAAACTTTTTTGAAACTCAAAGACAACTTTTATTACAATTGCTTTTTTTTTTGTCTAAAATGGTGTTTCTCCTGTTTCATGTTTCACGTTTTTTTGCTGCTTATTTTTCAATAGAACAGACTATTGTGAAGTCCGGGATCTTTTTTTAACAATCTGAACTTGTCCAAATATTACTTTCAGATAAGATGAAAGTAACGGTAAGATTTGGCAAATTATTATAAGTGCAATGTGGTTTATGCCTTGGTAGGGTAGAAATATAGAAGGCAATGAGGAAAAGTTCTACTTCGTTTCGCAATTCAGGAACATATACAAGCCCATCAACACCAGAGTACGGAGATAATCATATTGGTGGGGTCCATAAAGGTTGGAGTTCGGAGCGCGTCCCTTTGCCCACAAACAGTAATCGGAGAAGGAATGTTACTTCAACTGCATTGATCCCGTTCAGTACTAATGCAAGGGCGTTTCCATCGAAATGGGATGATGCCGAGAGGTGGATCACTAGCCCATTGTCAAATTTTGGTGTTTGCAACCCATCAGCTGCTCAACCTCACAGGCATGCCAAGTCAAAAAGTGGCCCGCTTGGGACCTCAGGTCATATGTACATGCCAAATTATTCACCCACTGTTCCATTCATTGAAGGGGGAGGGGGCATTGGTAAATTCACTGGGAGTTCACCATTTACAACTGGTGTAATTGTTCCTGAAGGCTTATGCATTCATTATGGTAATTCCATTAATTCTAATGCTAACTCACTGTGTGCTGAGAAGAGGATTACTCGAGCTTATAGTGTGCCTGGTCTGTCAGATTCATTGAGTGACGCCTCCTCATTGCCTAGCTCACGAGGTAAAGTATTAGCTTAAGTACAGATTGTGAAAAAACCACCTTTCACTTAAGTGTAAAAAGGATTATCCCTATGGTCACTTGCATTAGAAGTGGCATTTTTGTACATTCTCTTTATTTCTGTAACAATGGATAGAGCTAATCATTGATGAACTGACCTGCAGATGATAAACTTGCTACAGGAAGGGTTGCAGAAACAGATGAGTTGCATGTGGTTTCAAGGAGGGATATGGCAACGCAGATGAGCCCAGACGAGAGTATTCATTCATCTCCCAAAGAACGCTCACCACTGCCTTCCTTTCCTCTCCCAATTCCTGTGGAGGATGAACACAACAAACACTCTGCTAAGGTTGAAATTAGAGATGTACAAGTAGACAAAGGTGTTTCCATTTCCAACCACAGTTCAGGAAAATTAGAGAAAAAATCTCCAAATGCCATTGCCTCGTCACATTGGAGTATTTCCGAAGCAACAGGAAGTGGGTCGAAGTATGTGAAATCTTTTTCTGTTTGAACTTTCAATTTTCCTCTTTTGTTCTGAGATTTAGCGGAATCAGTATATGTTATTTGGCTGAAATGGCTAAATCTGCTTAATCTTGTAAAGGAAAAGTGTTTGGTAAAGCCAATTTCATCTGAATAAGCAATTCTGCTTTCTCTGATAATCCAAATAAAACAATTAGCTGATAATGCTCCCAAATGGGACATTAAAAATACTATTCTTGTTTTGGATCACAAATGTTTTGACATGTCCAACACTTTAATGCTTAACAGGGAGGAAGCAAGAATTGGTGCATGGGAGAACTTGCAGAAGGCAAAAGCTGAAGCTGCTATTCAAAAGCTAGAGGTGAGTTCCCAACTATTGCAATGAAAGATAACACTAGTCTTTTTTGTTCCAATGATGTTATGCTTTGTAGATATCCCTTATATGTTGTAATTAGAAATGATGAGATTTCCAGTTATTATATCCAATCTTGAGGTCTTTGGTATTGATATGGCGTAGCAAATTTTCTCTCTGAATCTCAGAGAAAATTTAAAAGAAATTCAAGAAATACAAATAAATGGTAGTAAGAAAATATTTATATGAGATGTTTATAAGTAGTTGTCTTCGTTCAAAAGGAACTTACAAAATCTGCCTTTGTTGTTTTTGTTCAAAAGGAACTTATCAAGTCTAGCTTTGTTTGTCCAAATTTTTTCCAATATCAATAGTGTCATCATGATTTCCATTCATTTTCCAATAGATTCAAATTACCCATATTTCCATGAATACTGATATTCTTGTCCTTGGTAGCGACTAATGATATACATTTTCAGATGAAGCTAGAAAAGAAGAGGTCTGCATCAATGAACAAGATTTTGAACAGGTTGCGATATGCCCAGAGTAAAGCTCAAGAGATGAGGGGTGCAATTTCAAAAGGTCACGGCACAAAAGTTTCAGACAAAGCCAGGAAGCGTTTTAAGGTTTCCTTTGGAGGCTGCTTATCCTGCCGCACTCGTTAGATCTAGGTTCTCAAACTTCACCAGCACTGTTGAATCCTAGTGAGTAATATATTGCAAGTAGAGCTCAGCATGTGTCAGTTTTTGTGCCAATTTTGTATAAAGGAACAGATCTGTGTACATCATGAGACTACAATGAATGTTATTTGTTGGGGTACAATTTGTGAACCAACTGATCCTTGAGCCTTGAGGAGTTTTTAATCGAGAGTAGGGAGGGTGCTAAATGATTTGTCTTCCTTCCACCCCCCTCATTTTTCGTCACACCCTCCACAACCTCCCACAGTCCCACTCCCCTCAAATAGGAGAGCTCCCCTCCCGTACCCTCAATTTCCTCCTTTTTATCCTTCTGGAGGTTTGGACCCTGTACTCAATAAACCTCATGCTGCTATAAAAGCATTTCCAAATTCCAATATGAGGTGTAGGGTGACTAGGGTCTATGTTTAAAGGTACGTTTTATATGGCGAAGAGAGATATAGAGAATGGCTGTTTTAATCTAAAATGAATGAAGAGATATTGTGAAGGTTGGAAATTCTTTTGTTTTGAAATAATTCTTTTTCTATTAAGATACGTTGTAGTGTTTCACCTTTCCCCATGTTTCCCATGCAACATAGGAGATATTTGGAAGGATAAAACTTATGAGGAAAATCGAGATAAATTTTTGGATTGCCAGATTGGTGTTTGACTATATTCATATACAACTCCACAATGAATTTGACTATTTGAGAGGAAAGAGTAGGTCCAAATGGGCTAGAACTCCTAGAAGCGATTTAAGAAGCGCAAAAAACATGCAATGATGCAAGTACTAACAAAATGTGTGAAATAATATACGGTAATGTGTATAGACTATAGACTAGTGTGCATTGTGCAAGTTGCCCTCCTCATAAAGTCATATGGTTAAATTATCAGTCTTGTAGCCTTGTAGTTGTAGGGTTGTAGGTTAAGCTATAATTATTTGGTAAAGCACTTGCAATTATCTGTTTTCTTGATCTAATCTAAATATACAATCATGTTCGAGTAGTGCTGGACTCGGGCCGGTTCGGGCCCGGGCCAGGCCTAGGCCCAACCGGGCCGCCGGTTAGGAAATGTTGGGCCCGGGTAGCTACCGGGTCCGGTCCGGGCCAGGGCCTCGGGCCTTTTACATTTTTTTTTTCCTTTTTCTAGTTATCCCCCGACCCCCATCCTAACCCCCAACCCCCCAAACCTCCAAAATACCTAGCCCAACCCGGGGATTTAAAAAAAAGTTGAAAAAAAATAAGCCCGGAACCGGGCCTGGACCGGCCGGGCCGGTTCATGTTTTGGGTGACCCGAGCCCGGACCGGAAACCCCTCGGGTCGGACCTACCCGGACCGGTCACTGGCCAGGCCACCGTGTCGGGCCGAGCCGGAACAGTGTAGGTCCCGGGCCGGTTCCGGGTCAGGCCACCTGGCCTGAGTCCACCACTATGTTGATATTGAGAATTTGAGAGTTGAAACTAAACGTCTATAAGTGAATATTATTAAAACGCTAACCATAATTATTATCAATCAACTTGTGTGGCCTGATATAACTGGATTACTGGAATACTGGATACAAAAGGAAATACTATTCAAACAGATCTAAATGTGAAATTTGGAATCAGATATGAAATAAATAGAAAAGGAAACTGAATTATTGGATTCCTTTTGGATAATTAGAAATAAAAAAGACTTGGTCTGACCACATAAATAATTGACAGGCAAGTAGATACAACCCTAGAGGCCTCGAGGGTAGGAGAGTATTACAAATATGGAAGTATGAGCAATAAAAAAAGGTAATTATAAGAAAGAAAAGAGTACAATGACGAAAGATGAGCTAGCAATAGCAAATCTGGCAAAAACGACAAGAGCAAATGTATCTGCCAAAACAATCCATTATGGGCATCCAATTATCCAAAGATAAAACAAGTTCAACAAGAGCACTAGAAATTCATTGGGGGAATCCAATGCTAAAAGTAACATGTCCAACAACATTACAAATTGTAAACAATGATACATCATTATAGGTTGTAGGATCTAAATAAATTAGCTTCTTCAGTTGCGAGCAAGTTTTTCAAATTTATAGAACACCCTTTTTAAGTATTAGGCCTTCCAGCAAAAGCTTGTTAGCCCATAATATCTCTAATAAAAAATAACTTAACCATTCATATTACACCATAAGAAAATCGGTCCAAGAGTTTTGGCCAGCGATTCTTTTGGACTGCTTCAATAGCAGCAACTAGCAAGTCGGCTCGAGGCTTCTCTGCTATCATCAGAAAGGCATGTAACCTTATATCAGCACCATGACACTGTAGCTAGTATGGCCTATACCTCATATCTGTGCGCGAAGGTCTTCCTCCCCCAAAACTACTACCGCCCATGCCACCATGCATGCTGCCATGCATGCCTCCATGCATGCCATATCCCCACTATATATAAAAAAAAATTGTTCAGAACATTGCTAAAAACAATGAATAAACTAAATGCGACAGGAGAATTTCTAGGTGCACATAGTAACAAATTAAAGTAGACAACCAGTGATCAAAGGCAACGCACAATGTGCGTGTGTGAATATCTCTTCCTGTAAGAGTGTATTATTTGTATCGCAAACAGTGGAAGTTCAGTTTATTTATAAAAATACTGACATGCCTCAATCTGAGGTGCTCAGTTGAATACACCAAAGGTGTGCAACAATGTATGTAATAATTGTGCACGGATGCATACAATGATGTATCCATGATATTTGTGTGTGTATCATTATCAGCACCTTATTCTCCTTTTGTTGGGGATGGTGGCATCAAATGCAGATATGCACACATTATTAATGGAAAAGCCAAGAAACTCACATCATCAAAACCACCTAAGCCCCCATACATCCTGCCATAGGTACGCACTGGGCCACCATAGGCCCCATATGGTTCTGGGTGGTGGTTATCAATCGGATAACTACTAGGACTAGCATCATCATCAAGTGGTGTAGCAGAATCGATTGCAACCTACAAGGTCAGCAAAATATATGTACGGTGCAAATTATTGCCTTCTGTAATTGTCACACACAAAAAATCGCATGCCAACTCAAGTAAACAATATCTCTGTATTTCAACTTCTTCCGATTACAGAGATACGGTATTTTGCCAGTACATAAAAATATCTGAAGACAAAACTAGTACCGGCTGTCCACAAATCTCATGAGGTCTTCGCGAAACACGTTCTGCCACGCCATCATCAGAAAATGTAACAAAACCAAAACCTCTATGTCCTGTCCTATTGGGGTCCTATTAAAAACAGAATGGCCATTAACAAAGAAAAACCAGCTAATATTTTTCAAAATTACAAAACTAAAGCTTACTTTAGGAATATAAGCATCTAAAATACGGCCAAATCGACCAAAATAATGGCGTAGATCTTCTACAGTTGCCTCCTGAGGAAGCCTTCCAACAAAAATCTTTCTCCCCATTCCACGAGGGGGTAAACCTCCTACATTATAAATACTTCAAGGCTAAGCAGATAATCTTATATGGTACTGCAAAGTTAAGTATGACACTTATGCATCTTCTTTTGATCGATAAGAACTTACTTCCATACATAGAAGGTGGATGGTCATACATTGTTGGAGCCCCCAAGGCAGCATATCTAGTAGCTCCATTGATGTATGAGCTGTATGCTCCATATCCACCACCTTGAGACATTCTTCTTACTGGCTTGAAATCATCTTCCTAGAAACCAAGTAAATGTATTGATTACTTTTACGAAAAGAATGTACGGCTTTAACTTTCGACGAAAAAAGTTGGATGGGTTGATCTTTTGTATGGTCCAAGTAACACCCTATACGCTAGCTGAGCCCAACCACCAGCTGTGGCCAAACTTGGAGCCCAACATGTTTTCCCCGCACAGCTATAAGCAGGTAAATGATTACTCCCCAAGGAAACCAGGTGGGCTAGCTACTCAAAATACTTGAGCAGTGTTATTTGGATGAAGGATGATTGCTAAGCTAGTTGATAGCAATGTTTAGTCATGCCACTTAGGATATTTTGACTTGGGCTGAAATTTGCTGGTCTGGTCTGAACTGGTCTGGTAATGTCTAGTCTCTAGTCTCTGTGTATTTTATAATCCAAGTCTAGTCTGGGACTGAAAACAGTCCAAGTAAAAACATTCTTAGATGTTGAAACAAAAAAGGGAAATTTATAAGGCTTACCTTTGGAGTTGCTCGATCAACAACAACAGTAGAGCCTCCCAGTTCATGGCTTTCATTCATCAGGTCATCAACTGACTCTGAGAAAAGACGAGATAGGTTGAGATAATTATTTCATACATACTTTCAGTACATTGTTGGTCAAAAAAATCCCCAAAGTTTCACTTAAAGAATATCAAGCAACCAACAGAAAAATCAAAAGCACCAAGGTTATGTGATAAGACAAAAATACACTTGCCAGAGTTTGAAAAAGTGATGAAACCAATCCCACGATGACCTTTAGTGCTTGGATCCTGCATAATTTTGTAAAAAAGATCACTCAAGCTTTTTAACATTATAAACAGAAATATTAACATCAACGATCATCAGTGTCCACAGGGCAATGTGTGAAGCAGATATGCGAACCTTTGGCATGTACAGATCTGTTATCTCACCATATTTCTCAAAGTAGCTGCAAAGAAGTTACAATAGAATCAGATTTACATATCTAGTACATTCTCAAATAACTGCAGATCACAAATAAAGGTAATATACGAGAGGTTAGAATTTAAATTCATTTTGCAATGGTTCCATGATGTGCATGTTGGTTTTACAAAATCATTTTTACAGTTATGCATTGGACTAACACTATGTCAACCATCTCACCGCATTGTCATCTCATGATACTGTTCATTCAACTGGAAAAAACATATGAATGGTGAGTTGGTGACAATATTGAGTTATAAAATATCATTTCATTATTCTTTTTGTTAGAAGGTTGGGACAGAAAAGCATAACATCAACACTAGTTTTGCAATAACTGATAGCATTAAACAATTACATATAATCACAATTGACACTAGTTTCATATCTCGATCTTGACATAGTTGGTATTAAGATGACAATGATGAATAAGATGGTTGTTATTAAGATTAAGCAAATACCTTCTGAAAGTAGATTCGGTAACAGATGGTGGTATCCTAGCCACAAAAATCCTGCTCACCTTCTTTGCAGGTGCCCTCATCTCCTCCTGCGAAGAATTGTATCTAGTGTTTAAATTACTGTTTACATACAATAACTGTACACTGTTCACATTAACAGTTTCACACTACTTGAGAAAAAAGTTCCTTAGAAAGTATGGAAGAGATCAATCATGGGCAAAATAAAAAAGACAAGCAAAAATAATTAGTTCAACCTTGGGAGTTGCAATTTTTACTTCCAGTATTCTGTTTCCAAGAAAATGCTCCTTAGACAAGGCATTCTGCAGGATAAATATGTTAAAATGTAACTACAAAGTAAACTAGACAATCATGTTTGTACACAGATGTACAACAATTGCATACATAATCATCACCTTAGCA